AATGTGTCATCACTATTCACTAATGTACCACTTATGGAAACAGAAGATTATATTTGTCAACAAATCACCGACAGGCAATTAGACTAAGGAATCCCCTTGTGTAGCCTCAAAGAATTACTTCCTGAATGCACAATGAATGTTCACTTTGTCTTCAATAATTCATACTACCAACAAGTAGATGGAATAGCTATGGGTTCACCACTAGGCCCAATATTAGCTAACTTCTTTCTCGCAAATCTTGTAAACGGAAAATCGAAAGATATCATCGAGGAGTTTGATATGTTTCAGCGATATGTCAATGATACATTTATCTTAGTTGATGGGAATGTTAACATTGACGAATTGTTGCTGAAATTCAACAACATCCAATCCTCGCTAACCTTTACTTGTGAAGAGGAGCAGGAGAATAAACTACATTTTCTGAACGTCTTACTAAGTAGGAGAAAAGATGGGTCACTTAAGAGAAGCGTGTATAGAAAAAAGCACATTCACAGGGCAATACACACACTTCCCTCCTTAGATACATACGCATTAAATATAAAAGGAATGTTGTTAAATGTCTTGCGAACAAAACAAGAAAGATATGTACGGATGACCTCTTACAAAAGGAATTGGAATATATTCACGACTCCTTGACAGAGTTGGGCTATCCGAGTAGTTACATGACGAAACTTCAAGTTTAATTGGCTGTCTGGTTTTACATTTTCTTTATTTCTTTTTCTGTCTTTTAGTCTGAATAACCTACACCAATTATATCGATTATCATTATTGTCGTTTTTCATTCGACGACGATACCGGAGGACTAACTGGTGAAAGGATCAACTCCATTCACAGTAGTACCATAGTCTAAACACACCAAATACTACAAACAACATATAATTATTCACAGCAATAATCCTTTTGAAGTCAACCAAAGCTATGACATTCAAGTGGAGGGACGAGCTACGCAGAAGTTTACCTGAATATCAGGAACCTCTACCTCAAAATCAAGAAGCGAGCACAAAGAAATCGAATTGGTTTAAACTAGCTCGTAGAAAATATACCGGATACTGAAGTTGTCCTGCTTCTTTTTGTGAATGAAAATCGCCTACTGTCAAAATACCAGACGATATTTTAGGAACCATGAGAGATAAGCAGGTGAAATGACCAAGACTTAAGAGAAACAGGAATGGTGAAGACGAAAAAGAGAAGGAAGAAGCGAGGACGTAGGATAGCGAATGCCTACGGGTAAAAAAATCATGAACAACGCGAAACAGAATAGCAGAAGACATGCTTAGTTATGCATGGGTGTGAGCAACAGAGAGGTGGCAAAGGAAGCATCAGTTTAGACTTGTTTTTGTACCGTAAGCCTGATGAATCAGTCAAAAGTCACGCTAGTCGGTTCGGAAGACTTTTACGGCGCCAACCTCACGGGGGATGATCACGGTGCATTATCTGTAGTATTCATCCAATATGGTGCCTGGGATTACTCTATAATTCACAATATGCTATGAATTCACTCCGAATTCTTCCTTAACGTTGGAAGGGTATAGCTGTTGTGATGTTCATGATCTATGATCTAACTTATACGGTCAAGCAAGCCAGATGCATGTTTCACGACTATTCGTCTCACATGTGAAGCGTTACCTTTGTGTTACGTGGCACAAGACAACTGTCATTATACTGTTGAAGTAAAGTGTGACTGTTATGAAGGAGTGCATATCCAGTAGTACCTTCACTGAAAACATTTTTTCGATGTGGTTGTGTTCTCTGAGCTGGATGGGTGATTTGAGAAGATGTCACCTAGTAGGGTGATGAAATCTTCTCAAATCACCCATCCAGCTCAGAGAACACAACCACATCTAAACCGTCCACCTGAGCTACAAATCTTCTCTATCATAACTGAAAACAATGTTGTGAAAAATTCAGTGGATTTATGTGATGGATGTAAACTTTTCTGTTCACGTAAAACCACGTTCATCTTCTACAACAGGTGTATCGATTTTTTGACTATAAAAAAAATTGGCCTGATTTCTGTTAAACAACTCTAACATTTGATGACTTCGTTATTGTGGTTCTGTATATTCTATTTACAAGAAGAACATGTATACATTCCGGACAACTAGGACAAGCATCTCTTGGAATACAGCCATGAATGCATATTAGGGCTCAGAGTTCTCATTTAGTATTGAAAACAAAACGAAGAAGAGACGGAGGAAGATACCTTCCGAAGGACAGAATTATGGTCAATGCAGTGATGTAAACAGTCCATCTGAATTGAATAAGAGGCGCTCACATTACCATACATGATCCACATCAGATTGCAAAGAAGATGAACTAAACCACCTCGTAATGTACTGGTGGTGAGTTGTGTTGACAAGCTGCACTTCACCAGTCGTTACTAAACACAATTTACCTATGTACTTTAAAATTCAGTACTCTATCTAACCTGTAAGTTCTGATGACAGAACGCAAATTAAAATGACTCGTTTATTAGGGAAAATGTGCTCAAGAGCATCGTATAATTGCATATAATAAAAGGTAAAACTTATCCAAAAGAAAAGGCCTGGAAATTATCTAACGGATATGGCTTCATTACAAAATCAAGCAATGTGCGTATTAACAGAAAAATGAAAAAGAGGGAAATGGCATCGGTGCTAGTTCGCATAAGTGCCTAAATAAATAAAAGTTGAATGAGGTCTTTAGAGGACAAATTTCTCGACGAGATATCATTTCGTACTTTCTCTATTGTCGCTATACAACTAACATGATTAAAATAATCAAATAAAATAACATGACAAATTACGCAGTCACATATAGAACAAAAGCATATACTGATGACCATTCATTCATATTCAAATAGGGCAAGTAGTTCATGGTAGGTGAAGGTAGAAGTATATTGCTTTTTGTACACAGGGATTAGGATGTTTGCGATCAACCCAAAAAGTACTTCCATCACGTTAAATAACCAAACTTGCATTGGAGTTATGTGAAATAACTCGGAGACAGTCATTTATAGTGACTTCTTGAAGACATCTAAAAAAGACAGCTTCTGCAAGAAAGAAAGCTATCTTCGTTAACCTACCATTCATGGGGTGACCACTTTATGAGGCTGACAGCTCAAACACTTCAGTCAGCCATCAGACCCACATTCTACGCCACTTCTTTTTCCGTCATATGCCGAACATTTTCGATCCCTGTACCTACCTGTGGACTCTACTTCAAACTGTATCTACAAGTTCACCTGCAGTTGCGGTGACATCTATGCAGGTATAAACAATAGAATGTTCTAATGTGGTCGTCGAGAAGAACATGTTCCTAAATGGTTATTAAAATATATAGGAAATACCAAAGCAATTATAAGTCTGAATAGAAAGCCATCATCATCATCATAATTCACAGCAAAGCACTTAATAATGTCACCTCACAAAATCAATCTTGACAACTACTTCACAGTTATTTCATCACATAACTCTAATTCAACGTTGGTTATTGAAGGTGATGGAAGCACTATGATGCGTGATCACAGACATTCTAAACAATTTGTAAAATATCGACTTCAACCTTCACATAACATGGACAACTTCTCATTTTATGTCAGATATGGATGTTTTCAATCGACTGAATAAAATTAATTCAGAAATAATTTTTGAGCGATTAGTCAACATGTGATACAATTGAGCATTCATTCATTCAACTCATACAATCCTCAAGGATAGACTGATAGATTTAGAGTTTTGTAGACATGATTGCTAACATAACCCGATTCTTATTTAGATAGCCACTTATGCATTTTGACGTTATTCACGTTTACTACAGTCGTCAGAATGCCAATCAAATCCTCATCATTCCTTCAAATTCTGTTCTTGTCGTCCACAGAGTCTGCATCATTTCACTCAATCCTACTACCAATAAAATCTGTATCGATTAACATAGATTCTGTTATGTGGTCTTCATGTATCTTTGGATTTTTGACTCCTCTGTCAGTGTCTTCTTTTCATATCTGTAAAAGTTCAAACGAATCAATCTCTTTTACGGGTTGATCACGGATTGATATCAGTTAGAGAACCATTGAAAACCAGGGAGTACTGGACAGCTGCTGTTTCATCCTAGTTTGGGAATCATCGGCAGGACGCACCCACTGCCAGGATTCGAACCCAGGACCACCGATGATTCTCAAACTAGAATGAAACAGTAGCTGTCCAGTACTCCCTGGTTTTCAATGGTTCTCTAACTGATATCAACCCGGATCAACCCGTAAAACATAACTAATCCTTACAAACCAAACTATAGAAAGAATCAATGTCTGCTCTTAAAATCTCGGATTCCCTAGTGTCTAGATAATTCTAGTACTGCCTGACTATCTTTATTAACTAGATTCTGCGCACCTCAGTATCGTGAATCTGATTCTGCTGAGTGACAGAACATGCTTGTTGAATGTATTTGGAAAATGATGAGTAAGCTGCTTTCCACCTCATGTACATCTTGGTGTAAATGAGTGTTTTGCAAATTACGTGACCTTAAACATAAAATAAAGTAAAGATAATGAAGGAGAGAAGTGCTTTCTATCATGAGAACAATGTTTTATGAGTTTCATCTCTTTCAGTTCAAATTATTCTGAATAGGATTGTAGAGAAAAAGAGTATATCATATGTTGTTTATCACTTAAGCGAAATACAATTATACATACATACAAACATACATAATTTCATTGTAGCTGGCTCTATCAGAATATATATTGTCCTTATAAATGAAAAGAAGCAACATAAACAGATATATGATTATCATTGTAATTGTTATCATGCCACACTTAAAATGAAACGGGATGCACTTGGAGTGTTTTGAGAAAGCGTAATAGTGGTGGTCTTACACGTGGAAAGTAAAGTAAATTAGGACACTGAATAGACTATATAAAGGCTTGTTTTTATTTGCTCACACGTTCACTGAAAAGAGGAAGAACAAGAAGATGAGAATGATGATGGTGATGAAGAAGTTCTGTGTACTGTTGTTCATTGTTCAAGCGTTCACAATATTCATCAAGCCAAGCGAAGCACGTAAGTACAATGTTGTTTTCAGTGGAATTTGACATTTTCAAAACAGTTTCCTCTTATTGGCGTAGCACACACATTTTAGTGTATTTATCACTATATTAAAACCAAACGATTGGATGTCAAAGTTGAACTGATTCACATAAATTATACTGAGCTGCGTAATTTGAGTTGACACATTTGTGTTTCTGATTAATTTATTCTATCAAATTGGTTGATTATGACAATAGCAGACATTGTAGACATTAGGAATAATACTTAGATGGAAACAATTCAAGACAAACTTACAATATTCCACTGAATTATCGAAACCACACGAACACCTACATATATATATATATACATCAGAGGTTAATAAAAGAATTTTCACGTTATCCGATGTACTGTCCATTAAATAGTGAAACATATATTAGGCATTTCCAATAAAATTGCGACGAAGGGAAAATGCAACTAGAAAAAGCTGATATAATTGCCAGGACAATAGCACACCAATCTAGGTCAACTGCACCAAACAAATGTTGTCAGCAGAAAACAGTCAGCATACTTTCAGACACGGTTGTAATCACTGGTGAATTTTCGTCTGATTCACAAGCTTAGTCATCCCATTATATATTCCAGAGTTACAGTTGTACAATTCAGTCCTAACCAATTTATCATATGGTTACAAAGACGATAGTTATCCATATTGAAATTGATAGAACAGTGACACAAACTGTAAGAATGTTATTAGTTGCGATGCTTCAATTCACAATTCACCATAGGAGTGATAAGACAAAATTACACAATATGAACATCTGTGAAATAATTTACACATACACATTACTAATTTTATCATACTGAAATTCAGTCACTATGTGCTTCCATCCCAATGAATGTAGCATCAAAGTGCGCTCTATCAAAATCTGTCGACTAAGGATATGTAATATAATATTACAGATAGTCAAGTCGCAATCACGAGAAAGTGTTTCAACCGACGTGACTTGAACAAATTGAAGAAGGCCGACGTGAAAACATGGAAAAATAAGATATAAAAATAAGTAAATAACGGAACAACTGATCTCTGTCTGTCTCAGTAGATTGTATTCCAGGCGATTTGTGGAAGTCAGTTCAGTGGAGACCAGAATTCAAATGACCCATGCACACAGTGTGAGCAGAAACCAGTGTTGCACTGCACAGTCAGCAGTGCATGCTGTCACACATGGTTGCAATCACTACTAGGTTGTCGTGTCCCTGTCAAAGCAAGACGTCACCTCCTGCAGTCGAGAATACAAGTTCCTGTCTTCTTTCGTCTTCAATCTCTCGTCCATCTCGTCAGTGGACATTTCCTAAATGAAATTGGATATTTCTACAGCAGCGATCTGACAAGGCACAGCGAATTGTGAAAACTTTGTGTAATGACACAAATTAATATTGTGAAGATGTGATATTCGGTGTATATTCATGTCTGAACAAATATAGAATGAACAGGGAAGTGGTTCGTTATGTACCCAATGTAATGACAGAAATTCCCAGCTGATAAAATGATAATTTACTTTGAATATTGAATAAAAATTTTCTTTATTTTCACAGTGGTACCACGTGAGTATAATTAGAGGAAACATATGAAAAAATAATGAATGAAAGCTTAAAATTAAAAATGTTTAAAATAGAAGAATTATGAATATATGACAATACAGTGAATATCACATGTTGTCTGAACATGTAACCGAGAAAATAATTTGCAACACAATCTTTGTAAAAAGCAACTGATGAAAATCTGTGAAAATCTGAGTAAATAAGTATCACCATGCATTTACACATATAGATGTGATTAAAGGGAAATACGCAGTATGAACCTCTGCTCACAGTTTTCAACGTATTCATAAGTAGACATTTTTACAATTACATGTAGAAGATGTCCACGAAATTGAAATGATTAATTCCAACGTTTCGTTCGACTATCTGGTCCAAACTTTTTCAGGGACCAGATTCCTGAACTAAACGTTGGAATTAATCATTTCAATTTCGCTCAGATTTTAGAAATATAATTTTATAAATGTCCACTTCTCACTCAGCGCTCAATTATTTTGCTACTATCCGCTAATATACATAAGTAGTTTCATCATACTGAAAGTAGGTCATTATGTGATTTCATCACAATGATTGTGATATCAAAAATTGTTGTCTCAAAATGTGTTGACTAAGTAAATTTAATGTAGTATTACGGAGAGTCAAGATACACTCACGAGAAAGTGTTTCAACCGACGTGACACAAACAAATTGATGAATGATGACATGAATACATGGAAAGCATGAATGAAATTAACTAGTCAGATGCAACAGAAATAGGTGTCAGAGTGTGGAATTTTCAATATGTTTCACATGAGGATAGCGATAAGGTGTGAAATGACATTCGACACATCCTGAGTAAATTCAAACAGTGACTTTCTAAATAGTTCGTGTAGGCGTAACTCTCTGTGCCCAACACCGAACAACTGATCTCTGTCTGTCTCAGTAGATTGTATTCCAGGCGATTTGTGGAAGTCAGTTCAGTGGAGACCAGAATTCAAATGACCCATGCACACAGTGTGAGCAGAAACCAGTGTTGCACTGCACAGTCAGCAGTGCATGCTGTCACACATGGTTGCAATCACTACTAGGTTGTCGTGTCCCTGTCAAAGCAAGACGCCGCCTCCTGCAGTCGAGAATACAAGTTCCTGTCTTCTTTCGTCTTCAATCTCTCGTCCATCTCGTCAGTGGACAATCACGCCAATCACAAATGGATTCGATCGATCATCACAAAGTCTCGGAGGATGGTACTGGTTTCTGAACAGAATGTTTCAATTCAACATTTCTTAAATGAAATTCAATGAGTGTACAGAAGCGATCTGACAAGGCACAGCAAATTATGAAAACTATGTGGAAGGCACAATCCAGCATTTTAAACAAGTGTTATAGGCTGTTTTTTCATGTCCTCACAGAGAGAGCATGAAAGGTATGGCATTCGCATCCTGCGAATAGTATCAACGTATATATAGGTGAATGTAGAAAATTTACTTAATACCTGTATATTAATATTTTCAAAATGCATTCAGCGGATAAAACTTGTAAGTTCTATTTATTGAAACTTAATTGACTATTTTAAAATTACTCACTAAACGTTAAAAACATAATTATCAGCATAAAGAATATTGGACAATTCAGCATAAGGCACATGGTGTCGGAAAATGGACCAGAATAATTTCCTTTCAATAAAATTGCTTTTGAAAACAACTGATAAACTGCAGCTGAAAGTCTGAGTATACAAGTATCACCATGCATTCGCAAATTCACATCTGATCAAATTAAATTATCCAGGATGAAATTTCGTGCACATTTTTCAACATAAACATAAATAATTCATCATATTGAAATTAAGTCAATATGCGCTTCCATCCCAATGAATGTACTACCAAAGTGGGGTCTCTCAAAATGTGTTGACTAAGTACATTTAATGTAGTATTACGGAGAGTCAAGATACACTCACGAGAAAGTGTTTCAACCGACGTGACACAAACAAATTGATGAATGATGACATGAATACATGGAAAGCATGAATGAAATTAACTAGTCAGATGCAACAGAAATAGGTGTCAGAGTGTGGAATTTTCAATATGTTTCACATGAGGATAGCGATAAGGTGTGAAACAACATCCGAAACATCCTGAGTAAATTCAAACAGTGACTTTCTAAATAGTTCGTGTAGGCGTAACTCTCTGTGCCCAACACCGAACAACTGATCTCTGTCTGTCTCAGTAGATTGTATTCCAGGCGATTTGTGGAAGTCAGTTCAGTGGAGACCAGAATTCAAATGACCCATGCACACAGTGTGAGCAGAAACCAGTGTTGCACTGCACAGTCAGCAGTGCATGCTGTCAGACATGGTTGCAATCACTACTAGGTTGTCGTGTCCCTGTCAAAGCAAGACGCCGCCTCCTGCAGTCGAGAATACAAGTTCCTGTCTTCTTTCGTCTTCAATCTCTCGTCCATCTCGTCAGTGGACAATCACGCCAATCACAAATGGATTCGATCGATCGTCACAAAGTCTCTGAGGATGGTACTGGTTTCTGAACAGAATGTTTCAATTCAACATTTCCTAAATGAAATTCAATGAGCGTACAGAAGCGATCTGACAAGGCACAGCGAATTGTGAATGCCTTGTGCAATGACACAAACTAGTATTTTGAAGAAGTGATATTCGCTATATATTTTATGTCCTCACAGATAGAGAATGAAGGAGCAAGTTATTTGTTATATTTTTACTGTGTTTACGGTTAATATACTTGTTCAATTCAAAATTTCTTACAAATCACTTCATTACTATTTCGGTTTTCATTATAGTGAAACTTTTCCGTGAGTTTGTCTTGGTTAATCATATAGACTAAAAATTATTCCTGGATAACCCGTTGTAAGCATTAATGAAATTAATGCTTACATACATCAGCGAAAAGTATCTGTTCGGCGAATTGATTGTCCTACCTGTACTATCGCAAATATAAATGTGTGGTTTTTTGTATGGATGTGTACATTAAGTTTGTCAAACAAAACTACAATTTGTTCAGTTTATTTTAACTAAACAGGTGAAGGTTGGTAATACAAGTCAAGAAAATTACGTGTTAGTGAAATTAGAGTAGTAACAAAGATGATGAGTTGTCACAGACAGTTGTCAAATGAAGTTATGTAATAATATGAATAGTTTGATGAGTGAGTTTTACTCAGGATGCACATAGGAACAAATTAGATAATACGAATTCCTGTAAGAGACCTCTCTATTAGAAAATGGCTAGCAGATATTCTGGAACCTGTAAGGAAGCAATTATGTACGCACTCGCTCCGTGACACCTTCCACTTCATCGAGTGCATACAAGACATGAATGCATCTAACGAAATCATGCTGTTCTTCAACGTTGAGTCACTTTTCACCAACGTCCCACTCACAGAAACGGTCTGCTTCATACGCATATACAGAGATGACAACCATCTCTATATTGGAATACCGACAACATATTTGAAAGAATTGTTATTGAGACGCACTGTGAACGTCCAGTTCACGTCCGGCGAGACCAGCTACAGACAAATGGATGGTGTTGCAATAGGATCTCCGTTGGGCCCAATACTATCAGATTGCTTCATGGCAAGCCTCGAGAGAGGTTCACTAAAGCCGAGCATTGACTACTTGCGACTGTATAAAAGATACGTGGATGACATTTTCATTATTTGTGACAACAACAATGACCCCAATCTACTACTGAAGACATTTAACTGTTGCCATCCAGTAATAAAATTCACTCTCGAAATGGAAAACGAGTCAAAAATTGTGTTTATTGGTGTGGAACTAACAAGAAGAGCTGATGGGAGCCTAAGAAGATCAATCCATAGAAAACCTACGTGGAATGGACAACTAACAAGATTCTATAGCTGGGTATCCATTCAACAAAACCGAAATTTAATTAAATCACTTGCCACCCGCATCCGACGCATCTGTAGTCCCGACGTTCTGGAAACACAGTTAGATATTCTAAGAGAAATCGTCATCCAAAATGGATACCCAATAAGATTCATTGACAAAAATATGAAACCAATAATTCGGAGAAACGAAACTTTAATTGCGCCTAAAAGGAAACTCTACATGAACTTGGATTTCAGGAGAAATTTAGCAGGTGATATTGTCAAGAGAAGGATCACATCATCTCTGAGAACATTTTTGCAGCAACGCTAAGAATAGTGTTCTCCAGTCACCCACTGATCTGCAGAAGCCTAAAGGACAAGATCCCAACATCTGACTACTTCTATGTGAATATATCAGTTCACCTGCTGCTGTGAAGCCAGCCAAGTACATCGGTCGTTCGACGCGCAACCTGTCCAAGAGGATTCAGGAACATTATCCAGCATGGTTGCGAAAAGGCAATAGTGGTACGCAATAAGGAGTGCGATAATTGAACAGCTGGTTAACACTGATCATTCCATTTAAACAAACGCCTCCTGCTTCAAAGTAATCTACAGAGTCAAGAATAACCTATCAAAGGCAATGCGCTTTCGTTTTCTTTGTATCACTGAAGCTCTGGCCATTCACAGAGAAAAACCGGAGCTGTGCATACAAAAGAAGAATACTCAACCACTTCTACTGTCATGGTAACAACATTTTTTCTTTTGATTCGATTTGAGTTTTCTATTTTGATGACTTAATTTTGTTTCTTTGACTGTTCTTTAATTGCTTAGAATTCTTGTATACATTTAAAACTCTTACGTAATTTCGTATTATCTAATTTGTTCCTATGTGAATCCTGAGTAAAACTCACTCATCAAACTATTCATATTATTACATAACTTCATTTGACAACTGTCTGTGACAACTCATCATCTTTGTTACTACTCTAATTTCACTAACACGTAATTTTCTTGACTTGTATTACCAACCTTCACCTGTTTAGTTAAAATAAACTGAACAAATTGTAGTTTTGTTTGACAAACTTAATGTACACATCCATACAAAAAACCACACATTTATATTTGCGATAGTACAGGTAGGACAATCAATTCGCCGAACAGAGACTTTTCGCTGATCTAAGTGTTTTGATTTCATTATTATTAAATTGCACAGAAAACGTTGAAAAAAATATAAATAACAACATAATGAATGTTTGGCAGTTCAGAGAATAAAACATGACGTCTGGCTATGGATCCGAATAATATTGAAAACCAAATATTTAAAAAATCAATCCAATAATAGTTTTCAACAAAATATTGTAGGAAACAACCGATAAACTGCAGCTGAAAGTCTGAGTATACAAGTATCACCATGCATTCGCAAATTCACATCTGATCAAATTAAATT